GTGTGTGTGTGTGTGTGTGTGTGTGTGTGTGTGTGTGTGTGTGTGTGTATCAGGTACCTGGGGTCAGGAGAATCAGCAATGACAGAGGTAGGCAGATGAAGGTACTTTTGGGTGTCAGTAGTAGCAATGGTGGCAGTTGATGCAGGAGGCAATAGAGAGAGTTCTCAGGTTTTAGAACAGGGAGCAGATAAGATTATGTGGAGTATCAAGTGCAAGGTTCAGGTAAGTAGAGTCCTACAGGAAAATATGCCCTTAAGATGACCAAAGACAGTAGCTTGCTACAACGAGCACAGAAACATCCTGGGTCTGGTGGCCAGGCATTCCAAACCAGCCCTCTTATCCAACCCTGGGAAAGACCAATCCAGCTTTACAACCACTAGGAGTCCTTGCAAGCATCCTGTTCCTAAGAAATGTCCATGCCCATGCCCATCCCTGCCCTCTGGATTGTCATCTGTTCCCAGAAACTCAGCCTACTCACTCAGCAGGCCCCAATTAGGTCTACCCTTCCCAGCTCAGGGGAAGTCTGGATAACAGTCTCATGCATTCATTTCCTTGCCATCCTCACAAGGTTTGCTGGCTCCACCTTGTCTCCTCGTGTTTGGTCGGATTATCTCCTTTGCCTATGCCACCCCATGGAAGAATGTAGTTTCTACTCAAAAAGAGAATAGTCTTTATTGAGCTTCTCCTGTGTGCACCATTCTCAATTAGTTTCTTCTGTGACACCATCTAAACCTGGCCATAACTGTATGACATGCATGTGAACAGCTCCACGGGAAAATGAGAAAGCAGGTCCACAGAGGTTAGCTGGGCACCGTTCAGCATGTGGCCAGCAGAGATTTGAACTTGTGTTTGGTTTATTCTAAGACATGTGCTTCATCTTCCATTCTGTTTTTAGACTTTCCTGAGACCCCAGCTTTATTTTGTCCCCCATGGCTGTTTGGTATGGTTTGGATGAGTATCTATCAAAGGTTCAGGTCTCAAGGTTTGGTCCCTAGGGGTGGCAATATTAGGAGATGCTAACATGCTTTTAAGAGGTGAGGCCCAGTGGGAGGTACGTACATTATTGGGGCTGTACCCAGGAAATGCCTAACGGGACTTCGGCCTGTATATTTCTCTCTTCCCCTTCCTCCCTCCCTCTCTCCTTCGTCCCTTCCTTTCTTGGCTCCAGATGTCAGTACACATTCCCACCATGCTGCAGACCCCAGCAGATTTCAGTCCAGAGCTTATATAACTCTGAGCCTAAGCAACTTTTTGTCCTTGGAAGTAACCTTTCTTAATTTGTCTTTGTAGCCATCTGAAGTTAATACACATTCTTCTGGCCCTGCCAGGGACTTGTGTAATACCTTGGGTTGCTCAAATACCACCTGCTAGGACCAAAAATTTTCTGCCCACCAGCTCCAGCCTGTTGCCATACAGTCCTTTGAAAGATGCTCAACACTGTGCACAATTTAATCCCCACTCACTCCCGGGCCTCAATGATGTCCAAGGGACATACTGGTGGACATGTCAAAGCATAGTACCCCTCCAGGTGTAGGATGGCCCTTCAGGGCAGCCAGATTTTGATGGGAGGACCAGGAACTACTATGAAGTCAACAGAAGTATTTAGAAGACATTTTATACAAAAGTTTGTTAGCTTGAATCTCACCTTGTAGGTGTTTTGACATGGGGCACATGGGAGGCCATAGAAATTAGGAGCCTGTTGCCTCTGCTCATCTTTTATGTAGTAGACAGGTGTGAACATTATTGGGGATTTCCTAGATGAGTGATGATATCCAGTTCTGTCTTGTCAGACAGTCTCAATGAATTACTGTGGCTCGGCCCATGTGTTACCTTTTCTCCATCTAGAAGCTCTTGTAAAATGACTTGTCTTTCCCGGCATAATTCCAAGAAATCGTCTGAGTGCAGGCTTTCATGCAAAGCAGGAAAGAAGGTCAATTGTGTGCAATCCACTCCCACTTCATCCGGCCTGCCCTCAGCTTCCTCTGAAGTCAGCTCATCTGCAGTAGTGAAAACTGGACACATTGTCTTGGTGTTAGCAACATGGTATCGTAATGGGGGCCCAAACAGCATAAGCCTTTGCCACTGAGAGGAACTGTCAGGCTCTGGAGTAGAAGCAATCAGTGTGCCCTTCCGTTGTTCCTGAGAACGAATACAGCCACTTGACCTGTGTTATATAGGCTACACTCCTGCAAGCTGGTCAACAGGGTATGCCAAGCCTGGCTCCTCTACAGCTATCAAACTGATTCAAGGCAACATTTTAGAGTTCATCCTCAATGATCAATGGAACGTCCCCTTTTAGGTCTGTCTAGGATTTGCTCCTTCTGAACCTGTTTATTCTCTCTTCTACAAGAGTGTCATTGATATTTCTAAACAACAGAATTTCTAACACCTAGTTTGAGGGAGTTTGAAATGCCATGAGGCTCTAATAAACAAAAAAGAAAAAAACATGTATGTCCTAGAGTGTCAGTTTCCAGTAGGTACCAGGCGCTGGGTGTTTTGGTGCCATTTTTCTATATAGTCCTGTCTCGGTTGTAGTATCTCATCTTAGTTTGCAAATGAAAAAAAAGTCTGAATAAGGCTTGGGACCCACGACCATATGACTATTGGAGTAGAGGGAATGTAAAGCAGGTCTTCCTGAGTACTGTGAAAGGTCTTTCCTGCCTCAGTGTGTTTACCCTCACTGTTCACAAAGTGACTAAACCACTACCAGAGTCTTTTCTGAACATATGTGTACGTGTGATTTTTAACATAAGAATAATGTTACATTTACAAAGTTTCATTCAAGATTGTGTCATAAGTACTTTCCCAATTCATTTTAAAGCTTTCAACAACTTAAATGGTATTGAGTGATATCTGCTGTGTGGCTATTTCATAATCAACTAGTCCTTCCCCTGCTCTTTAGAGACTTGATGGCTTGAGCAACAAAAAATATGCTATTTTATGTCCTTTCTGCTCACTTCCAGATTTGTTTGTCGAGAGCAAGGACATCTGAATCTAAGCTAAGCAGATGACAGTATGGATACTCTCATCCTGCGTCTTCTCTACTCACGTGTCGTAGATGCGCCCATGTCTGGAGGAGGCATGTCGCTCAAAACTGCAAAGCTATTAGCCATTTTCTTTGTGCCAAAGCTCAGCTCTTTGACAACCTCCCAACCTGGGAACCTCACATCTGGAAAGATGAAGATGCCTGCTGCTCTCAGAGCTAGTCCTCACCAGCTTCGCCCTCTGAACGGAACCTGAGCTTCTCAGTTCTGGGCTTTTGTTACTGCTGGCTGGCAGGCAGCAGGCGAGCCAAGCTTCTTAGTGCAGAGACGCTGCCCCCACGTGAGGAGTAGCCACTGTCCATCCCCAAGATCCAAGAACTCACAGGCTGCGGGTGTGAGTTCAAAAGATATGACTTTACTGATCAAAAGACGGAGTCATAAGTGAAAACACAAAATTGAAACTCTCTCTCTCTCTCTCCTGTGTGTGTGTGTGTGTGTGTGTGTGTGTGTGTGTGTTAGATGCCCTAGATTTCCAGCAAATCAGAAATGACTCTACAACACTGTCTTTAAGCCTGAGGTAAATGATGACTATCATGTAGGTTGTGTTTTGTACTAGAAGAGTTCAATGTGAAAATATCTATACCATCCACTTTTATTCTAATACATATTGTTATCCTTCTACATGTTTGATCACACATTAAACATGTATTTGGATTGATTTATGGCACTATTAAAGTCTACCCAATATAGATAGGGTAGAGGCACCCGTAGTTATTATTCTAAGCTTACTAACAACTCTCCCTCCCACACAGGTCTGGGTCTGGAGTAAATTCCCTTCATTCTGAAACACAGTCTTGAAAGGCTTGTGTGCAAACTACTCCTGTTTCTCAGCATTCTCTCTCCCTCTCTCCTTCTCTTGCCCACACATACAGAGTAATAGCTACAGTGAGGTATTAAATAAAATCAGCAATAGGTGTAATTATTGAAGAGAACAAGATAGATTTATATAAACTTGATACCTTGTTTTTCAGCATTTGTCTGAGAAACATCACCCGTTCTGTCTTGGCTCTCCTGAAATAGAACCAGAGAGAAGACAAAATAAACCCCAGGCATTGTTTGTGCCTTCTGCCTTGCCACAGATACACAGATACACAGATAGTTGTCAATGTGTACAATCCCCTCCAGTTACTCTAGACTCGGGTACAAAAGGAAGATCAGGCCAAATCCTACAGGGTCATGTAAAATGCACGTGTTGATTGTTTCTGAGTGAGAGTGGAAACTGCAGTCTTCCTTTAAGTAGGACTTATGGCAATGACTGAAGGAGGTGCCAGGGTGGGGATTGGACAGCAAGCTGGATATCTGCGTGTGGGGTCACTATGAAGAGGATCCGGGCTGGTCAGCCACAGGGACAAATGACCAAGTTACAGAGCCAAGCCTTGGCATTGTCACCCACATAGTGAGCAAGATGCCTTTTCTCCTTCCCTCAAATCCTAAAAAAAATGTTTTGAGGGGGAAAAAAATTACATGCCACCAGTCATTGATGACAGTTAAAATACAAGTATCTACTGAATCAATTAAATATAATTTTCTCATTACATTTTCTGGGGGCTTAGTACAGATAAAGATGCTGGGGTAGTAGACTGGAGAACAAAAATAATACCACATCTTAGAATGGATAAGGGGGCAGGATATCCAGCATCCCAGTGTTGAGAGGGGTGCCTTTCAAGCTATTTTAAATTACAAATGTTCCATGAGAACATGAAAAATTGTTGCTAGTTTTTTTTTCTTTTCTACTATTAAGTAAAGCCAAATGACTTCTAGCCTTAAAATGCAATATATATACATATATATGTATGTATGTGTGTATATATATATATATATATATATATATATATATATATATATATATATATATGTATCTGATGATCTAGTTATATAAGCTTCAGAAGAGCCAACCCCTAGAGACTGCCCAGATTCCTTTGCCTGGAAAACCAATACAGCTTGGGTGCTAAAGGAGCCATTGGCTTGAGCTTACAGAATTGCTGAGCTTGAGAGATTTTTCATTGTGAAACTTATTACAGGATTTGTTTGTGCAATAACTACCAGCAGTACAGACACCAAGTGTTCAATGACGAAAGACTCATGTGAGAAGACAACGGCTACTGCCAGGCCAGGAGTTCTGTGGGTTGCCTTGTGGTGATGGGTCAGGGCTGAACAAGTGTGACCCACCCACTCATCTACCCATTCATTCAGGCTCCAGATGGGGCCAGTTACTTAGTGCCTGTCCCTAACTGCAGCTAAATTACTTCAAGAATGAGATTGAGGACTGCCCTAACTTATCTAGGTATAGTCTGTCTTCTTGGGAAGGGTTGGGAGTTCTAATGACACATAGCCCCTTCCCTGCATATTTCCCATCATATCCAGCGCATACCTTGTGCCCTCCAAGGTTCAGCGCTTCCCATGAAAACAAACGTCTGATACGTTTCCTCATGCGAGCTGGTCCTTCCCTTCTGTCCAGTTCCCACTGGGCACAGGGTGTGGATTTTGACATTTGGCCCCATAATCCCAGCTCCCCAAAGAGCTGTTCTCGCATCCTGGCCCAGGCTGTGGCTGCCTTGATACTGCTACTCTTCCACCTCTGCAAAGAAGAAATACAACACCACACTTAGACACATTCATTACCCTTGTAGGCCTGCCCCAAAGCCCTTATGGTTGTTAGTGGAGAAAGATGGCCCTTCAGGTAGGCCTCAGCCTTATTCACATCCTCTCTGGACCAGGCCAAGAGAAAAAAGTTATTTCTCATCTTCAAGATCATTCAGATTCAGCGGGGAAGGAGAAAACTGTGCAGCCTTTGGTCTTCTAAGCCGCTAGACTGTTGGTTTTGGGAGAGAGCAGGCAGCAGTGGGTTCCGAGGACGTGGGATTTCCATAGCCCTTGCCTTCTGAAATAATGCTTGCTCCTCCAGGAGACCCAAACTGCTGGCAGAGTGAGGACTTGAGCAAGTCATTCTCATCTCTGGACTTCAGAATCCACAGTGATTAAGTGACACATGTGGCCTGCATGGTGTGTGAGGACCTTTACACACTAACATCTTATGATTCTTGGGTGTGTAAGGGTTCTAGAACAGTCAAAGAAAAGAAAACTCGAGTGTACATGCAAATATTCTGATATTTGTGTTTGTGTGTATGGTTTTTTACTTCCCTCTCATCTACTGCTGTGTAAGTTTAAGCCTTTTGAAGGACACAATAACAGCCCTCACTGTTTCTGTAAGTCCTACTAAGATTCATACCACACCTAGAAAAGAAACAGTTTGAGCAGCAGGGTCAGCTTTACATGAACTTCTGTGGGTGTTCAAATATTTGATAGCATTTATCCTAAATGTTCATTTTTCAGAAAACAGGCCGGTAAATATCGTAATGGAAGCAACAGATGTTTCAAAAACTTAACATAAACAGAAAGGAAAGGCGCCCACGTGTTAACCCAACCTTTTGGCATGGTGCTCTCTGAAGCCCAAGCAGAGGAGTGTGTTTGGCCCTCTGTCTCCACAGGGCATTTTCCTGGGCATGGACAGCCCTACAGACATGTGATTTGACACTGAGGGTAGCTTTGGACAAACTAGAAAGTGATCTCATTTCAGGATGAGGATGAGCAAGTGAGCTTACTAGACACCGTCCTTTTTATCCTTGTGTCCTTGTGCTTCAAACTCTCCAGCAATCTCACACACGTGTGTATATGTGTGAAAGAAAAAATGTGTGAGAGAAATAAAGTGGGGGAGGGGTGGTAGAGTGAAAGGTTCAAGAGGGGAAGGAGAAAGGGAAAGAGGAATGGTGGAGAAGGGGAGGAAAAGAAGGCGGAGTTGGAAAGGAGGGAGGGGATGGATGCTGGCCATGTGGGTCAGGCTCTGCTTGAAGCCTTCCTTTCTACTGAGTTCTTCATCATTTTATCAGTCTCATAAGCCAGTTAGAGATGATGCCCTCACCCTGGCTCCTGTAGAAGCTATGCAAAGACATAAAGAGGCAGAGACTGGGATAGAAATGAAACATCCGTCAGTCCCCATGTAGCCCAAAGGGGAGCACATGTGAGGAGCTCCTCATAAATGAGGAGCCTGAGCATTTGTGGTAACCAGCATCTCACAAAGAGCTGAAGGAAGCAAAGGCAGGCTGAGGCACATCTGTCCATCACAACATGGTCCAGGCACAGAACAGGAAGACAAGCTTGTGCAGATAAGATAATGGACAGGGCTTGGACAAAGGAGAGGGGCAAGTGAATATGTCAGAGAGGAGGGAGGAATGCCAGCAGAGATGTGATAGAGCAGTATCTATGGATATGACCAATGCTGGGATGGCCTCCAGGCACTAGATGGGATACGCAGGAATGCTCTGGGCTCCATCCATCTCTGGGGACCTCTAAGTGGAGGGTAAAGGGAAGGATGGAGAAGTCTTGTTTTTGGAAGCTCTGCACTGAGGTCCCCTGACTTCACTGTCCACTCCTTAGGAGAGGGTCTCCTTGGGTTCATTAGTGAAATGGTTCTCAACATTCCTAATGCTGCAACCCTTTAATACAGTTCCTCATGTGGTGACCCCCAACTATAAATTGCTTCATTGCTACTTCATAACAGTAATTTTGTTACTGCTATGAATCATAATATAAGTATCTGATATTCAGGATATCTGATATGCGACCCCTTGAAAGGGTCGTTCAGCCTTTGAAGGGATCATGACCCACAAGTTGAGAACCACTGACTTAGCAGAAGCTGACCATGAGTAGCCATCAGATTTCAAAACACTGACTTGTGTCATGGTTCAAGTTTATCCCAGGAGCGGTGGCTCACGCCTCTAATCCCAGTACTGGGAAAGTAGATGAAGGTGGATCTCTGTGAGCCTACCATGCCCTGCTGTGGTCTTCATAAGGAGTTCCAGGCCAGGCAGGGCTACATAGCAATACTGTGTCTCAGAATGAACGGACTAGAGTTTCAAGTTGACTTTTATGGACATGATATGAGTTGAAAAATGTGCTGGCCCTCAGAAAAATGGGGTGAGTGCTCCAGACCCCATTATCTCCAGCAGACAGTGATTCCATCTGCATTCCTCTAAATATTGAAGCATTTTAAATATTTAAAGACTTGGAAACATGAAATACCTTCAAATAATGCTGATTTTTTTTTTTAAAGAAAAATCCTAACCAACAGTAAATCACACAAAATTTTCAAGTACTTTATGAACTCTAGGCAGGTCCCACTTATGAAACTGAGCCAGGTTGGCATTTCAGGAGACTGGTGCCTCCTTTCTTGGCTGGCACCTCTGTTGAGTCCCCGTCCGGCCCACAGGAACTTTCGATTTTGTAGACTCAGCAGGAACTTAGAAACCCCAGACTTAGAAAACTCTCTCTCTCCTAGATAGAAATTAGTGGCTCAGGTTCTTGAGATATGTGTGAGTGTATTTACATATACATATGTGTATATACATGAATACAAAATTTTAATCAGTATCTCACCGAGATAAATGGATAGATAGTTATGGCTCTTGGTGAGGTACTGATTTTTTTTTCCCTCAAAATCATCTAACTGTAAACAGGGTTTTCCTAAAAAAAAATTTAAAAATTAAAAAAAAATAAAAGATGCAACCTAAATTCATGTATTTTCCCTTTCAGTGATAAGTGAATATTTTAGCAGCATTGTTCACGCCAGACAAAATCAGCAAGTCCATTCAGAGGATGAACTGATGATGTTCAAGAGTCTGTCCCACAGCCACAGATAGTACCCAAATGTTACCTAGGCATCCTCTAGCTATGTAACACACTCTGCAATGTTGGGGCAACCTAAGTGCTCACGATAAAGCTTTGTCTCAAGTACCAGCTGTTCTGGCTGATCCCTGTGATAGCTTCTGAGGGACCCTGAGGGGTCTGATGTCTGGGTAAGCTGGGTGTAGGCTGCACAGCTCCGGAAAGCCAAGGCAGACCTGGGCTCCCAACCCTGAGACCTAGGCCAGGAGATCAATGCTATGCTGGCTCCCAGCACCTGGGCACCTTGTTTCAACCTTTGAGACTCCCCCACTCCACCACTGCATAATTAGCATATGTGCTAGTGATTTCTTTCACCCATTGTGCTCTCAAGGAAGAACATAACAGTTTGAGCCTTGTCACCTTCAAGGCAGAGTGACAGCATTGTGAATGCTGTATTTTCAGCACAGGCAAAGGCTTTGACAGAGGCACATTCCTCTGTAACGAAGAGCTTGATGACTTTTAATATTGCATGTCATTGCTCATTTAAGATGTTCTATTTTTAATATCAACTAAAGCCCCACTTCTTAACCATTATATAACCATATGTAGAATATCTATTGTTTACCAGTTGTTAGCTGATGACATAACCCTTGCTCCTTCAGTTCTCATGGTTATGAAATACCTAGGAAAGGGAAAGCCTGGGGTTCATACAGTGCTCTGACTGGCCTAAGAGTGTTCTGGGCCACTCACAGAAATGACTCCTGTGCTTATGCTTATGTGTCTAAACCTGCCTCTATTGGTAATAGCCCTCTGCCTTTAGGATTGAAACCCTAATGTGACAGGAACCTTCTGTGTTTCAGCCCCCTCTTCATAGTCACTCTGTGTCTCCTAGCACAGGCTCTTCCAGTTAATCAAGGGCACCTGGTGACTTCCTCTCTCAGGATCATCAAGTGCATTTTTCTCTGGCCAAAACTGTTGTTTCCTAAAATATTTCAGCCCATAGCTTTCTCTACAGCTTAAATGTTCCCTACTCAAACAAAACAGGTGAGTAGCCCAAATTAAATTCTATCCTTTGTTAAAGTTACTTATTTTCTTGCTAAATCCCCAGGATACGTTACAGGTAGCTACTGAGTTGTGAAGTTATTTAATATGAAACTTCCCCTGGTAGTGAAGCCATCCAAACAGGAGACCCAGCTCTGCATTCTGTAATCACTCCTTCAGCTCCCATCCCGCTTCAAGGCACCGTGGGCTCTCAGCATCCACCCACAGTGGCCTGGTGACTGAGCACAAGTGTGAACAGGAAGAGGTGCCAGCCTCTCTGCTGCTGAGCTGTGGGTGCTGTGCCCACTGTGTGAGCCAAGAAAGGTGAACCATCATTGATGATCAGCTGTTGACGTTTGTACTCTAAGACTTAAAACAAAGGCCCTCTGACTCTCCATTCTCTTTCTCCCCTTCTTTCTCTAATCCAAGGTGGCTCCAAGGATGCTGTGTAGAGAGAAGATATGCTCTGTTTCTTACCTGCATGTAGTCTTTGTACAGCGATGCATACACCTCCTGTCCTTTTCTTCTGTAATTCTCTATACAGGACACAAAATCCTGGAGAAGAGAGAAAGGCAATCGCAGCTTAGTGATAGTGAGAGATTGGGATCCATGCCTCCACTCTGACCAATTGCTACAGGCTCCACAGGCAGAACCATTCACAATCTTGTGAACAGTGATTTTGCCTCTGCTGATCCACTAACACAATACATCACGCTTGTGTGTGCCTTTCTTTTTAAACTATGGTAGGCTCAGCCTTCCTCTTTAGAATAATTACCAAAATTTATGTTTTTTAAGTAACCTTGAGAGATACAGCCAAGAGAGGTAAGAATTGATCCACAGAAAGAAAACTCACCAAGGATTGCTTAATATTAATGCTTTTGCTTTTTGCCTTGAGACATTTGCATATTTTTAAATAGAACAGGAGCTTTGGCTACTAACCAGAAAGTAGCCTCTAAATAGCTGAGTTTAGTTGGGCTTATGACTGTATGGGGGTGGCGGGGTGGTCAGGGCGCTGGAGAGCTGTTCTCTAAGTCCACCAAGGTGTCCAAAGCATAAAGAATCAAGATCCCAGCATCTGCATTGATAGTCTGTAGGGCAGAGCCTTTCAGAGGTCCTCTGTGTCAGGCTCCTAACTTGTTCCCTGTTTTCTCCTTCTTCTGATGTCCATCCTCTTTGCCTTTCTGGATAGGAATTGAGCATTTTAGCAAGAGTCTTCCCTCTTGATTAGTTTCTTTAGGTGTACAGATTTTAGTAGGTTTATCCTATATTACATGTCTATATGAGTGAGTATATACTATGTGTGTCTTTCTGCTTCTGGGATAGCTCACTCAGGATGATTTTTTCCAGATCCCACCATTTACCTGCAAATTTCATGATTTCCTTGTTTTTTATTGCTGAGTAATATTCCATTGTGCAGATATACCACAATTTGTGCATCCATTCCTCCACTGAGGGGCATCTGGGCTGTTTCCAGCTTCTGGCTATTACAAATAAGGCTGCTACAAACATGGTTGAGCAAACGTCCTTATTGTGTACTTGAGCCTCTTTTGGGTATATGCCTAGGAGTGGAATAGCTGGATCTTGAGGAAGCACTATTCCACTTGTCTGAGAATGTGCCAGATTGCTTTCCACTCTCAAGCCCACTGGTTTACTAGCCCATGTGTTAAAATGGGAAGTCAACATAAAGCATGACTGGATACCAAAACAGCTGATGGCTGTTTCAGGAAGTAGTGATTATGTTGTTAGCATGCTTGTGAGCTAAACTAGTGGCTTCTGACCCAGAACAGCACTGTTAATACTTGACCGATAGACAAAAGCACAGTTATTTGCCATTTAGTATCTGGCAGCTATTCTCTTAGAAATGATCTGATCGAACAAGCCATCTCCAGCAAAACGAGTGGCGGCATTCGTTACTGAATGTGATCAAACCTGAGACATTAAGTATCAGGAAGAACTCAAGACAGAAACCTAGAGGCTGGGACTGAAGCACTCACCACAGCAAAGTGCTGTTTACTGGCCTGTTTGCCCATGGCTTGCACACCCAGCTTTTTTACAGCACCCAGAAACACCTGCCCTGGGGTGACAGTGTCCGCAGTGAGCTAGGCCCTCCCATATTGATCATTAATCAAGAAAATGTACTACAGATGTACTTACAGACCAGCATTATAGAAGTATTTTTTTAAATAGTCTAAATCTGGATTTTATTTATTTCAGAGCCAGCAGTGTTGAGCAGCCTGTTTTCTGGTTCTGACACAACATTTTCCTCATGGTTCCATTGTAAATAATCTCTTGCAAAATCCCTTTCTGCAAAGATTTCAACCTGGACCTTTCTTCCTTCATATCTCTCTCTCTCTTTCTCTGCCTGACTTCCTTTCTTTCCTTTTTTCATCTCATTTTTTTCTTATATTGAAAATAGATTACTTTTCCTCACATAATATATCATTTATGGCTTCTCTCCTTCTACTCCTCCCAGTTTCCCCTCACTTCCCCTCCCATCTCTTTCTGTCTCTTACTAGAAAACAAACGGGCTTCAAAGGGATGATAATAATAGAATAAAATAAGATAAAACAAAAGCTACGCATTGGAAATAGACAAAACAAAAAGAAGGAAAGGAGCCCAGGGGAAGGCACAAGAAACAAAGACCCACTTGTTCACATACTCGGGAATCCTATAAAAACACTAAACTGCAAGTCATAATATATTTGTAAAGGACCCAGTGAAGAGCAGGGCTGGCTCTGTGCACGCTGCCTCAGTCTCTGTGAGTTTGTATGTGATCTGATCATGTTAATTTAGAGGGCCTTGTTTTCTTTGTGTCCTCCATCACCATGTCTGACTCTTACACTCTTTCCACTTAGGGGTGGGGTTTTTTTTTTTTTTTTCAATTGAGGTTTACTCCCAGATATGTCTAGGTTTTGTGTTGAGTTGACAAAATCCTGCTGGCACACTACTTAATGAAATGTTTCAACAACTGCCAAACACAACTCAGGAGACCAATATTTCAAATGTATGTGACACACATACTATAATGCATGTTCCAAAACACAATATAGAGCATTGTACGTGCCAGGCCGACCAGGGCAATTTAATGTTACGAAGCGGAACTATTTCACTGACTAAGATTTCAGGTGAGCTTTAAAAGCATTCCTATTTATTGTGTCTTGGCGTACTATCAAAGAAAAATGCCTATATTTTCTAAAAAGGTGGGTAAATTTCTCCTTCCTTCCCAACTACACAGTTAGACATGAGAAGTGTTTATTAAAATATAAAATAACAAGTTTTCTCAGTCCTTTTATTTTAAAAGTTATAATTATTCACTCAAGATATTTTTCATGTTTAAAGGCAATAGGTTTTCTGTTAGTGTTTCAAATTAATTGCACCATTTTAAAAAACTCTGGTTTAATTTCCATCGCAATAAATGCCTATGTAAACAAAGATTTTTTTAATTTGATTTTTCAATATTTTTTAAGAAAGTGAGGCATTTCTGAGACCAAAGAAATTGAGAATCCATTTACCACAAAGAAAATTAATTGCAGCTGCATGCAATAGTGTCATTAAATCTTACAGATATAATTCAAAGTGAAAGAAACCTACAAAAGAATATAAACATTGCCACTTTATTTATATAAAAATTTTAAATGTAGAACAGTACTATATGATATTCATTGTCAGAAGAGAAACAGTATTTGGGGCTGAGGGGCTGCTAGCTGGAATGGGACATGGGCGCCCTGAGGGCTGCTAACCTTGTGCTTTTGATCTGGGTGGCAACTATGTTGTCTGTGTTAAAGTACTTACTTTGCATACTTGTCATTTGAGCATTTTCCATGTATATTATGTTTCAATAAAATAGAAAGTGTTTGTTGGCAAAGTAGAAAAACAATATAATTTTTTAAACCCAATTCTGGAGTAATGAGTGTAGGGTGATTTCTTTCTTTCTTTCTTTTTAATTTTGTTTGGGAAATTTTCTTCAATATTTCGGCTACATCATTTGTGTACATTTATAAGTGAAGCAATGCTTATAAGCAATACAAACAAGTAAGAATTGAATAACTGACAACTGCTGCATCCAAGGCGAGAACCCAGACTTCTTCCAAACATGGTGCTTGAGAAATATGAATTAGGAATTGTGTACCCTCAGAGACCCTTGAGCTAAGGCAGATGTCTTCTGATAGCAACTGTGCGACCTGTCAGAAAGAGCAGGACCTTGCCCGACTGCTCTGAGCTTCTGAGGAAGGGACGGGCCCAGGCAGACCCACTTCAGCAAGAGGACAGAAAAGGCTTTGCAGTTAGTCTGGTATTGCAGGATGTGAGTGTGGGGACAGAAAGCAGGGAATTAAGACACCTTGGTTTCTGGCCTTTGGCAGCCACACTACATGAATAGATCAATCTTTCTAACACTGAATCCATCTTGTGTTACACAAAGTTGCCAGCGTCTCTGTGGTGTGCCTGCTAAGGTGGCATGAAGCTGAAATGGGACTGTGGAGTGGATGTACTTTCGAAGCTGTCACCTGAAGACAACACGTGGGTGCAAAATACCAGAATTGTGAAGAAGTTCAGTTGTGGGGACCAATAGATGTAGCTATTCTCTTCTGTAGCTGTCTTCATCTTTACCCAAGAGGAACGCCAATGAGGATCCAGTATTGAGAACCCAGCAGAAGCCAGAGGCCTCAAACCAGACCAATGACTCATTGCAATGAACATTTGCAAGTAAAGATGTGTGGACAAAAGTATACACTGTGGGACACACTGTGACACACTAGAGCTTCCATGATGAGATGTGTTCTATACTTTGTTTTGTTTATATTAGTCTGTTAGTAGGCAGAGGGGAACATGGCAATAGAAAGGACAAGGCCAAAAAGCCAAGGCGAAAGGAAGGTCCCCAGTGGCACAGGATATGAGCAATGGCAAAGAGAGGTTCCTCATGTCTGGGTAGTAGAGGGAAGGGGTACATATGTGGAGTAGATGTTGGTGTCACCTGGAGAGTGAGAGGGTTCCTACCTGGTAGTTTCCTTCTCCAGTACAGAGAGGGAAGTATGGTGGCTCTGCTTTCTCCATGAAAGCTGAGAAGGAGTAGTGAGTATAATGGCAAATGGGAGGGGGCTAAGCAGGAGAACATCAGTGATTTGCCTAAGAGTGTGGAGAAGCCAAACGCTGTCTGTCCTCTCTACTGACAGGCACAAAGAACTTTACAGCTGATAAAGGGTCCGCGTGTGCAGAGCACATCTTCCCCATAGGCCTGTGTTATTACTCCCATCAGCTGAGCTGGACACTGAGGCAAAGTGAGGATGAGTGACTGCAGGCAGAGTGGAAAATAAAGATGAGTTCTGGACTCTGTCATCACAAACACCTCCACCTGCTGCATCTCCGCAGCCCTAAACAGAAATCAAGTGCCTGTGACCTCAGGTCCTTCTGTGACCTGGAAAGTTGTTATCCACAGGCTGCAGGGACAAGAGTAAGGAGATTTGGGTCAATTCAAGGGCAGAGGCCCATCTGCCTGGACAACAGTGGATGGGCGCATTGATTAGGGACAAATTCACAGCAGAGTTTTGTGTCACTTA